TGCGTGAAATCGCCACCAAAATATCAAGCCCAAAACAATCATGGGCACGCACAACCACTGCCCCATACTTAAACCCAGGGTCAGAAAGCCCAGATGCGCATCCGGTTGACGAAAGTATTCTGCGACAAAACGCATAAGACCATAGCCGACCAAAAACAGAGCTGAAACCTCACCGAGCTTACGTTCGCGCGCTGCTGCATACCACCACAGCAACACGAATAGCAACAGGCCCTCACCCAAAAATTGGTACATGGATGAAGGATGGCGCGGCAGGCCACCGGCTGCGGGATCGCGAAACACCATGGCCCAAGGCAAACTGGGGTCAGCCACTCGCCCCCACAGCTCCCCATTGATAAAGTTTCCTATACGCCCAGCCGCCAGGCCCGTAGGCACACAAGGGGCGATAAAGTCCGTGACTTCCCAAAAACTGCGCCCCTGTTTGCGCGCGAACAAGTACATGGCAAACAAAACCCCCAGCATCCCTCCATGAAAGCTCATGCCCCCCTGCCAGGCCATCAATATCTCTAGCGGATGATGCAAATAATACAAGGGCTTATAGAATAAGCAATAGCCAAAACGCCCACCTAAAATCACGCCCAACATACCGTAAAACAGTAAATCCTCTATCGTTTGACGCGTCCATACCGCCTGCCCATTGGCCCCCAGTAGGCGGGGATAAGGCTGATGCCTCAAACGCCTGAGCGCCAATAGGTAAAACAGCGTAAAGGCCAGCAAATAAGTCAGGCCATACCAATGCACTTTTACGGGCCCCAGCGCCAAAGCAACGGGATCTATCAGGGGTTGTTGTAACATAGGCGCAGATTGTGCCCGAAGATTTTGCCCAAATGCGATCTACGCGCCAAAAAATCACTGCCCTCACCCCCATCCCCTCAAAAAAATAGAGTGTGCAAGCAGCAAAAGACCCTATAGTCTTTTTCTAGGTTTAGGCGTATATTTATGCTTCGTAGTCAATAGATAAATGGGCATTTGTTTGCCTGGTCTTTGCTACACTTGAATCCCTTACAGAACCAAACGCGCTATCACTTATGTCCCGCACACCCAACGAAGAACTCCGTAAACGCCTAGAAACCGATACCCTTGACAGCTACGATGAGGAGATGGAACAAGAGATAGACGACGAACTCGGCGATGAGATTTTTGCCCGTTTAGATGTTTTGTACGATGAGAGCACGGATACTCCCCATCGTCGTGAACGCCTGAAATACTTTCGAGAACTGCTACGCCTACAGAGCGAACTGGTTAAACTGCAAGACTGGGTGCAGCGCGAAAAAAAGAAAATCATCATTTTGTTTGAAGGACG